TTTATTTAATACATATATTTGAAAAAATATAATATAAAGACGGAAAATGACAAAAAAAACAGAATTTACATATTGTAGTTTATGCGAACAAATATCATTAATTACATTAACAACATTTTACATTTTCTTATTGTTTTCTTTTCATTTATGAATTATTTTCGTTTAACTTTGGGGATTTTTCTGTTTCTATTCCTATTTTTTACATTAGTAACTTCATAAAAATTGCTACCAGTTTTCTTTCTTTTACTGGCCCTTTCTATAGCTCGTCGCTGCTTACTTGTTAATTTTTTTTCTATTTTCATTGATGATTCCATCTTAGAAGAAATTTTAAATGTACCATTGCTTGATGCAGTATTTGTGTTAAGCATTTCACTATCACTAGAATCATATTCTTCTTCTACTATATTATATGCACTTTGTAATAAAGTATCTTTTTCTAATGGTAGATGAATTTCATCACTAGAATATTCTTCCTTTTCTGAATGTCTATTAAATTCATTATCTTCCTTATCTTCCATTAATGATGCTTCTTCTAATTGAGTGTTTTGATTATTTTTAGTTTGACTGATATCATTAGTATCAATCAGATCAGATAAAATTGAAACAGTTTCTTCTGCATCTTTATTTTCTTTGTTACTCACAGATCCATTGGGTTTAATGTAAAGATCATTTTTAACATCATTACCCGAATATGGTAAGCCAACTCTAATCTTTTGAAAATCTTGTATTACAGATAACTGAAGTTTTGGTGGTTCTTTGTTTTGTGTATTCTCTGTTTTATCTGTATCAATGTTATTATCATCTCTTTCACCATTATTGTTTTCAACAGGAAGTTCATCAATAATTGCTATTTTTGTTAATGGTTCTTTAAAGCCAAGAGGCGGGACATAAAACGGTAATTTACCACGTTGCCAATCATTTAAGATCATTCGTGACACAGTAGTAATATCTGGTTCTCCTTTTTTTAATAATTTTCCACTTTTGCGTGCTAATTTTTCCAAAAAATCAATATGATTGTCCCATTCCATAATTTTATAAGTCTTACATATATAGTCTTCTTTTACTCGCGACAATACTTCCGAAACATAATCTTCTGGGTTTTGAACAAGTTCTACTCTTACTACACCTTTCAAAACTTTTTCTGCATCGGTTTCTGTTGATGGATAAACTACACCTGGACAATCTATCAAATAAATACGACGCATCAAAGTGATGTATTGCCATACTTTTGTTTCACCTGCTATTGGAGCTACCTTACATACTTTCTTCGACCTTAAAGTATTGATAATTGAACTTTTACCAGTATTGGGATATCCTATAAAACCTACACTGATTTGTTTCTTATCAGTATGTAACTTTGCAAACTGACGCAATAAATTTATTAGGGAACCTTTACCAAATGGATGTGTCATTGAAGCATGAAATGCCACTGTTGGATATTCAGCACTTAAAATTGCAACCCACCTTTGTGTAACCCATGTTGGAACAAGATCTACTTTATTTAAGATGAACATTAAATGCTTGTGAGGCTTTTCTGTTTTGAGGTATTTTTCTATTGGAGGAGATCTAGTTCCTAAAGGATCTCTAGCATCTAATACTTGTAAAATAACATCAGACGAATCTATAACTTTATATAATTCATTCCAAATTCTTTTGCTTTGTCCTGCAGACATGATCCAGTCTCTTTGAGCATCTTTGACACCAGTATCTGGACGTACAAGATCAACATCTTTAGAATCCTTTTCCATGTTATATGTTTCTTCCTTCTGTTCTGCTAATTTTTGTAATTCATCATATGATGATATTGTCAAATTTGGTCTTTTTCGTACCTTCCTTGGACCAAAAACACTTTCAAAACTTTCCATATCTAATACATGTACCCTTGCATTTGCAGCTTTTTGATTTAGTAAAGTTACTGGTAATTGTGTAGGTTTCATAATAACATTGTAAGGATCTTTCATTGCTTTTCCTAATTCATCTTGAAACTTTTGTAATGCATTTTGAGAAATGACTCTTGAATTCCCAAACCATCTTTGTGAAGGTTCAACACGAGACATAGTACCAGATGGTTGCCACCCTTGGAATGGTGCTGGGCTAATTATTTTACCTGTACGGTCACGCTTTGGTTTTTGATTACGATACATTTGTAATCTTTTGATAGTTGCTTTTGTTCTGACTTTAGCTACACCTTTTAATCCCTCTGTGGGTCGTTCAGGATTCATACTATGTCCAGAACGATTAAATCCCTCCTTCCGAGGAGGTTTATTTGTTGTATGTAATTTTGCCATTTTATCTGAAAAAGTGTATGTTTTTAATTCGATTTCTATTTATTTTGTATTAATTTCAATAATTCATATTCATATATATATATATAACTTAACATGTATTATAATTCATACTGTTCTTATAACTACATTCATACTTCGTAATTAATTAAAATTATTAGAAAGTAAATCAATTCATTTACCTTTCTTTTATGTACAATTATTATAACAAATTATATATATATTTTGACTGTCATGTACGATTAAGATTACACACGTGTATAGTTTCATAGAATAAGTTATCTATATACATAGTAGTGCATGTTTATACTATAGTGAATTTGGTTACTAGAGATTTTGATAAAAACGTTAATATTTTTAACTATTATTATGTTACGTCTCCTGTTCTTTCCGCGAAGAAAAAAAAATATAACTAGGCGAGGGACAACCTACTTGTACCACGAGACGTGAGTGAACAAAGATCAGAAACTATTTCGACCTCGTGGCCCGTACCACAGGATACTCCTTTTTTTTTTACATGGGGAAAATTTTGTATAGACACCGCCTCTCCTCGTCGTGCATGCTGAGGGGCCCTGAGAAATCATTTTCAAATGCTTTCGGGTACACCACAGGATACACCTAATATCTTATGGGATTTTTTGTCCGGAGGTTTTGGGACCGAGAAAACCCTAACCATTTTCGTGTCGTTATCAACATTACCGATTCAGCATAGAATAAAATTACAACATTAGTAGTGGTTGGAATTGGAATTAAACGTAACTATGAAATTACAAATAAGAAAATAACGCAATTGTTTATTAGTAGATGATTCATCACATGCACGTATTCTACTGCTGTCAAAAGATTGTGAACAGTTTTACTCAAGCAATCCAATATAAATATGTATGTATGGATTTTGTACATTTGTCGACTTTACCATTTTTTGTGGTTGGATTGTATGTAATTCCTAAACTCACCACTTTATATCGTACAGAGCATAACAAAAGCTCTGATTTTTTAGACGATCAGTATTTAAGAATGTTGAACACAAAAATACGTTAGGTGTTAGGTCTATCCTGTACCTTGTCTGTGGTAACACAGCAGCGTCGTCAACGAGGAAGGTGGCGTCAATGTGATAAACTGTCTTTTTGAAATGAATTAAAGACGATATGTGGATTTATGTCTGATAATTGACAAGGTTCGCGGATTCTGAATCAAACGGTTAAGACATTAACAGTGGATTAAGAATTTAACTAGTGGTTGAATTTAAATAATTTAAGTATATTTTAATAGTAAAACAAAACTAAAGAAATACAATTAAAATATGGAACGACTAAAATTGGAGAGCAAAGCTCGTGACTAAACTTAGATTTGAAACGAGTACATAAAATATGAATACGAAAGAAATGTATGAATTATCTGACAGTCATAACGTGAGTGACCGCGTACTGTGTGGAAAACGTATTTACGTAGATATTAGCATAATGGAAAAACAATTGAAGGATGATTAGTTTGAGCTTTCTAGGTGTTTTCGGGAATTTACGCGCGCATGCACAACGTCCGTCACTTTACATACAAATTATAATTTAAAAGTACGCTAAGGTTTTTATTCTATGATACAATGGATGCAAGCTATATTTAAATATAAAGTACAATTATGATTATATAGGTATAGAATTGTCATTTAGTTCACTATGAATACAGTGTTGATCTGTAATAAGCAACTCGCTATCTCTTCTTCTTTATTTGAAGTCGGCTGCCGAGTGAGAGGTCCATACAAACGAGAAGCCATAAATCTATACGGCCGAATGAACAGTGACGTCGTTTAGTTGAAGAAGAATAAAATATATATAATTCTTTCTCACTCTAGTATTAACGATCCTGGTGTATTATACATATCTCGAGCCTCTCGTTCGCTCTCCATGTTCTCTTGTCCCGTTCGAGAACAAAATCAAGCCGAATAGCATACTAATCCATAATAAGCAACTGGCCAGTCCCGATCGACTTGCTTATTACGGATCAAAACTATATGTACTTATTTACATCAGTAAGTGCGTTGGAGCTAGGGAGGTGATTTGAATCAGAATCGCAGAGTGTAGACTTCATAGATGGTTCGTATGAGTTGCGAACCGTGGATACTACAATATTAAAGAAATATTCTACTTTTCACTTGTAATCCTTGAGACAAGATCAACGCCGGTAGAGTATTAAAACACTCAACCCTTAATCGTGCAAAGAATATTTATACGCATTATAATTAAGTTTTATTACAGTGGTATTTGAAACGGTTCAATTTCTAACTTAGTGTTTATTTTATTATGTTTCTATATTGTTTTATTTTTTATTATAAAATCAATTTATTATTAGATTATTTTAGTGTCTTTTGTAAAGGCACGTACAAACTGGGATACAATCACTGTAAACACTGTAATTTGATAGTCGCCGATGTTTGCAGATACATTTTGTTTGATGTCATGCCGACTAATGAAATTAGGTTTACAATCACTTGGCGACATTACTTTAGTTGTCAGGATACATATCAGCGTCAGACGATTGACCAGTGATTGTATCCTAGTTTGCACGGACCTTAATAATTCAAAACTTATATATTAATAATTTTTTCTAATTAGTAGCATACTGTTATATATTTTATTATAACATACTGTTATAATTCATTTTAGAAACGTAAAAATTTTGAAGTTATGTATTAAAAAGTAAGGATATATTAAATATAACAACATAAGTGAAGATTTTTTTATTAAGTTGTAAATACAACATTGCAGTCATTTTACTTTTGAGTGGTGGGTGCTGACTGACTGGATGATTTAGAATCTCGCATAGAAGCGCTGCGCCTTCGTTTCAATTCTTCTTGGCGTCTGTTCTTTGCTTCCTTTTGTCTCTGTGCTAATAATTTTGCATATTCAGCGGCTTGTTGCTTGCGGGCCAAGCTACGCCTTCTCTTTAAAGCCAATCTATGTCGCGCCCTCTGTAAAAATATTTGTATTTTGTTATAAATTCACTACTTGAATAGAATCTTAATGAAGCAATAATATATGAGTAATATATATACCTGTAGAGTAACTGGGGTAATGAGACGTTGAATTTTAGGAGCTTTAGTGCGCTGTTTCTTGCCTTCTTTTTGTATTGGTCGCTTTACAACAAACCGACGTACATCATCATCCTTACTTAAATTAAAGAGTTTACGAATTTTGCTTGCTCTCTTAGGTCCCAAACGTCTTGGTACATCTTTGTCAGTTAAATCTGGAATATCCTGTAAAAA